AATTTCTATTAAGCCAATTTGTTCCGATAATAATAGATAATCTTTGTTTCTAAATCAATAAATAAGAATTAGTAAAATGTAACTTTTTGCGAAATGACTTTTGAAGGATTTTTTTTTTTTTTTTTGAAAAGAATGAACGTAGCACTTGTTGATATGACATAGCAAGTTATGGACTTTCAAATTCTTCTTTAATTTTTAGAACAAAGGTATGTAATTCCGTGAAAAGAAAGTATCTTTAATGATATTTTATCTTTTCAAAAAGTACCAAATTGTGACGAGGAAATGAAAGTAAGCAGATTGGTAATTAGGTATACTACAATTGAAGAATCATCCCGTTTATACTGTGCTATTGAAATTAACAATATCGTTAAAGAGAATTGGTTCGATTTTTTTGATTCCATTTATTTTAAATTAAGATATTTATGATCTTTTTTTTTTTTCCTGATTTTGAAAATGAAACTTTCATTTGAATTCGGCGTAGTAATTGAAAAAAAAAAAAATTTGACGGGCCAAATTTTTATTAAACATGGAATTTTAAATAATAATAAATATGAAGCTTTATTTAATGGACTTATAGACTCAATTCAATGAATGTTGTTAAAAAATTTTTTAAATATTGAGCTTGCTAAGATAACGCATTTGTAACAAAAATAAAGAGAATAATATAAAAATAAAATTTTATATTATTAAGATAATGCATTTGTAAAGGGAGGTTCTTGATAAAATTAATTAAGGAAACGTATCATAATTATTATTATTGTTGTTGTAGTTGTTGTTGTATACATCTTTCCTAGATATAAAATTATGAAGAGATTCGGACCTAAAAAGAAGGTATTTAGGAAAAAAAAAAAAAATTTCTCAAAAACAATTTTTTTTCTTCGTCACCTACCCATTCAAGAGGTCCAGGAGCTCGCAAGTTTTCGAGAGCGATATGACCAATCTCTTGATCTTTATATGGAAGGAGTCGGCGTAAGACTGATCACCTTCGTAAATCAATTCGCAGTCGTCACAACTTTTTTGAATCATATTATGTTCGATCTCGTATTTTCCATTTAACCTCACCCTACGATATTCTAAAGTACCAAAATTAAATTCAGCAATGGAGGTCCCATTTTCGTAGTGTAAGGTGACCTTTGCATATTCTCTCCTAGGGTCGTTATCTGTGAGAATATTACCAATACATTGTGTGAACCTATCATCATCTATGTCGATAATGAAGGATGTTCGTGAAGCGTCATACTCTATATCTAACCCCCTCGTTGATAATTTGGTAGAATCATACTTTTTTTTTAAAAAAAAAAAAAAAACAAATAAATAAATTTATATTTTTGGGGGGAATAAAAAAAAAAGGTGGGGGTCATTGCACAATCAATTACTTCAATACACAGCTTGTTAAGCCGGTTTTCGGCTTCTTCACGAATAGCCCGATCGATTAATTCATTCCATCTACTATCTACCGTACGGATGGAACACATATACCTAAAACTAAAAAAGAAAGAAAGAAAAAAAAGGATTGTTACATTTTGAAAATTTGAAATTCACTTCCATTAAGGAATGGTTTAAACCGTACCTCGATTCTTTAAGTAGAACCTTAAAAAAATCATAAGGCAACGGATTAATCAAGGTCTGCGCCATTCAATAGAAAGGTAAGAAAGAAACCTAGATATCGAGGATGAAAGATCAAATTTATCTAGTATATACAATTGACCTGTCTATAAGTCCCAATTAAGTTTATCTAAGATCTTTAGGTAATTATCTTATGATAATGATAAAAACACAAACCTGCAAAACGGAATTCAAAACCTGTTAATCAATTGGTCAGATAGATAAAAATTATTTTTTATGGCAAATATTTATGTCCCATAAAAGAAATTATGATTATTAAAACTAAATGTGTTCTCATATGATAAGATAACAAAACAAAAATGGAACTTTCTAATCATTGTGATAATTCAAGAGCGTGATGATTCAAGAGCGATGAAAATTTTAACCAATCTAAAATTTAAAATTAACTCTGGCCAATTTTGTAGTGCCGCCCCAAGTTGATCGATTAAAAAACATTTTTTATTTGCTTAAAAATATATTCATACCTTTTGTTTTTCTTGGGGAGTAAAAGTAAGAATTCTTATTTACTTACCAATCCAAAGAGATTCAGATCTTTCTTTTTCCAAAATGGTGAGAGTGCTGAGAAAAGGGACCAAATTAAAAAATTTCCAAAAATTTATTCCTATTCCTAGAAATAAATGTAACTTTTTATCATATGATTCAGAACATTTATTATTTTTTTTTTTTTTTTACAATTTGGTCCCTTTTCTCAACACTCCCAAATCATCAAATCATTATTAAATCATTAAAATTGTTTAATGAGAAAAATCTGTAAACGAAGAATAATACTGCAATGTTTTCGAATTTTACAACGAAAATGTCTTGGGATGCAGACATCTTTCACGAGTCACATAATGTTAGGTAATACGCGTTATCGATATAATGTTCTTTTTCTGTCAACTAAATCGTTATCTTATTCATGTCACGTGCAGAACAAGTGAGAGCGACTTCATCAATTTCCCCAACTTTCCTGAACGATTGGTCTCATTCTAAAAAAAAAAGTTTATCTTGCACACGGAAAGAAAATATTTCATCAATTGAGCATTAAAAATTTTTCATCCACAATTTGACTATATTATTTATTTATTATTATTCGCTAAATCGGTATTTAGAAGAAATGATCTATCCTATCTGATTACATCGTTTAAAATATTAATTAAATTGCATTATTTTTTTTATTTATTTATTTTTGATTTGTTTTGATGAATTAAGGATGATAAACTTCCAAATGAACGAGAAAAAGATGCAACTTTAATTGAATTCCAAGAAGTTTGGACTATAAGATGTTAACAACTCCGTAAGATTTTCTTTTATTAATTCTTCAACACGGCTCATAAAAATCCACTTATAAATAAAATTTTTATTTATTCTAAATGATTGAAACTTTTATGATAACTATCCTAACAATTAAAGCATAATTTAAATCTCTGAAATATTAAAAAAAAAAAAAAAATTGCGTCGTCAAGTAGCCAAATCTAAAATTTTGCATTATCGATTGCGTGCATAAACTGATTATAATCTTCAAATAATATATTCCGGTTCTTAATATTGATAAACCAATTTAAGTGACTCTAGATTCTCGTGTTCGATTTGAATGATTAGAGATTTTTTTACGAATTCCTGCGAAATTTACCCTTTCAAGTAAAAATTTTTTTTTTTGATGATTCTTTTTCGATCTACATACATGTGCATCCCCATATGATCATTTTTTTTGTTGCACGATTTAAAAATCACCAAAACTTTCATATGAAATTTATTTATTTGTTGTAAAGTTTTTGTGTTTCATTTATAATAATCTTCCCTTAAATTGATGAATAATGACAAAAAGTCTTTCTATTGTATCTTATCTATTCGGTATTTTCAAGTTTGAATTTGTTTATTGTATCAACTATATCTGATTATGATTAAACAAAAAAAAAAAAAAAATTTTTTGTAATTTTTTTTTTTTTTACCATTATCGATTAGATTTCTATGGATAAGGCTTATTAAGGTTCATCGGAAAGAAAGTTAAGGTTCCGAAACGAATATTAAATTTTTTTTTTTTAATACACGGAATCCTATTAGAAGAACATGTAATCCCCATTTTCGAGAACAACCCGAGGTATATATATCATCTCTCTCCCTCTTTTTTTTTTATTTATACCATAATCTAATATCAAAATTCTCTCCTTTTTTTATGATTGTCACAGACAAGAAATTATGATGATTCAAAATCAACGATAAAGTTATATTGGAAAATTTTCTCATTACGAAACGAAACGAAACATATGCACGAAAAGATGCGCATTGATTTCCACTACGATGACAACACATATTTAGTTGGGTTTGATTTTGGTACTTTAGGATCTTATAAAAGAGGAAATTCGATTGAATATAAATGCATTTTTACGAGGGATGCAAATAATCTGATTTCTTTGCTACCAAAGATCGATGAATTACTTTCTTTGGGAAAGATGTTGATCACTTGGGTAAGTTAAAAAAAAAAAAAGAATTTCTTTCCTTACATTTATTTTAAATTAATAGTATTTTTTCCTTTTTTTTACTTTTGCGGGAAACAAAAAATCAATACACAAAATCAAAGATAACATACAATTTATCATATGTCATATGCTTTCTAATTTAGTTAGGATTTCATGTCTAAGATTCAAATAAAGTCATATCCTAAAAGGATTTCATCTGCAAAAAGCAAATTGTTCCATTGAAACTTTGGTTACGAAATAATGTTTATTCTTTACGATGTATTTTTTTTTTCTTTTTTTGAAGTGTCCGAACCGGATAAGATCGATTTCAGATTGACGCACCTCTCGGATGAGTCGGATACTGGTTGAGTCCTATCTAAGGGTCCATTTAAGTGGTAAGGCGCAACCATTTCGTGCACTTACCTAGATGCTGCCACCTAGTATAGACCACTAGTACCCAGGTTTGACACCAGGCTATTCTTTACGATGTATTTGAACGAAAACAAAAACTTAAAGATGGTAGTACATTATGATTCGAATCCTGAAATTTTTTCAAAACAAAACCATCAAAATGGAAGGATTTACCAAGCCTTTTCAAAAAGACGAAATTCACCTTTTCGTTCGAATTTTTTTTAAAGTCAAAATAATTGCAAGAATTCCCTCTCTATGCTTTGTTTGGATGTCAGGGGTCATCTATAAATAGAAAAATAAAAACGTTCCAATTCCTAAAACTTTTGTTCTTTATGATAGAGTTATCATTTAATCGACTAAAAGTTTTAAATTTTATCCAATGAAATACAACACGGAACTTTGTTTTGAAAACAAATGAACATATGATAGAAATGTTTATGGGTGTAACAGTATCTTATCCTAAACATATAAAATGTCATTTACATTTTTTATTTTTCTGAGAGAATTTTCTTATTCAACATCTCAATGGAGCCATTCAAGTCTATCAAGTCGATGACCCTTTCGAGGACATCGATACCTAATGAATTATTAATAATGATTTTTAAATGTCTCTTATATCAGACAAGGTTGGTTTGATGCTTCATTCGTTTGCTCATCACAAAACAAACTTAACCTCGCTTTATTCTTTAGCTTCGAATTCATGGATTCGATAAGGTTATGCTGCAAAACATGGAACGATCTAATTAATCTAATTCTTATTGAAGAAGTAGGATACAAGATAAACAAGCAGATGAATATCGAGGTAAATAACAAACCTGAATATAAATCAACTTAATAGTAGAATAACTCAAAATATATATATTATTTTTTTTTTTTAATTTTTTTTTTTTAAAAAAATAAAATAAAGTATAATTGTAATGAATATTCGATAAAGTGTGCATCCGCAAGCTATGATAGTTCGCAAGGTACCTTCGTTATTCTTATAAGAGATGATAAGTTTGAACAATTAATTGGATTGTTTCCCTCAGCTGGGGATGTCAGATGTGAAAATCTTAATGTTAGGCTTCATTACGACAATGGAGCACACGTATTCGTATTTAATTTCGGATTTGTTAGATACTGGAAAGAAAAATTGTCGGAAGGGAGAAGCATAACTAGAAACGAAAATCATTGGAGGTACAAAAATTGTACCTGTGACTACTTGGATATGAATAATCCTGATTCTTTGGTCATAAAAATGACCAAATTAACGATCCCTTTAAAGATTATGTACAGAACTTTTGATTCTTTGGATGGGTAAGTGTCGAGGATCATTATATAAATTTATTTCAAAAATAACATTCATATAAATTAAAATCTTTCATATGCTTAGGAATTCTGGATCTCCATCTGTTTACAATCGTTTTGTTTAACGTATTATCATTATCTTTGTTTATTGTTATTATTATTATTATTATTATTGTTACTTGAGGTTATTATAGTGAATAATTTATTGTATATGAAAAAGAGCTTTTCACATGCATGAACCTGATGACATCAAAACGATTATCAACCCATCTATTTTACTTTATTGCACGTTGGCTCCATATTAAAACCTTAATTTTTTATTAATCCTTTCTTTGGCTAAAGTATTATGAAGCCAAGGTAACACGGACTAACTATTCTTAATTGTGAGAATTAACTTAATTACTTAAAAAAAATTATCATAATCTAATATCAAAAGAATAAATCAAAAACCCATTATGATGATTCAAAATCCACCTTGCTGTCCAAAATGATGAGAATTTCTCGTACAATCTTACTTTTGGTATAAAGTAAAACGCATTAATATTCATTACGATGATGGTACATATTTAGCTGAATTTAATTTTGGTACTTTGAGATTTATAAAGAAAGAATTCAAAATTCGAATTGATTGAAATGTATTTTTACGAGGGATATGAATAATCCTGATTTTTTTGCTATAAAAATTTTGAAAATTTTCTTTGCTTTAAAGATGTGCGTAATTGATGGGTAAGGCAATAAGAATTCTTAGCATAAATTTTTTTTTTTTTTTTAAAAAAAAAAATCAATCAAACAATAAAAACGTTTTCTTATAGAATATTTTTGTTTGAGAAATCAAATATAGAATGCGTTAGAAATCAACCCATAATTAAAAATATGTATACAATAAAATGAATAATATTTCTTTCATAGGTTATTAATTCTCTGCAGAGTTTTTTTTTTTGATTTTTTTTTTTTTTTTTGAAAACAAAATAGCTTCAAATAAAAATCGTTTACGTATCCAAATGAGTTAATTCATCGGGGGAATTTTTTTTTGATAAATTGACAAAAGTATGTATAAATGGCTGTGTAGTTGGTTGTGTAGGAGGTTGGGGGTAGATGGTTGGGTGAATGTAATAACGAAAATAAAAGATTCGTCTCTTTTGGCCAAAAAATAAAATCTTGAAGTTCCTCGTAACGGATGGTTTTTTATTACAAAAAAAAAAAAAAAAAAAAAAGAAATTTTAAAGTTCATTGATTTGATCGATAAAATGACGTTAATATTTTTAAATTCGGAAAAAACTTTCTCACAAACTTACTTGATAAGCATTAAAGTTCTTTCTTATCTTTCGTTAACCTGAATGGTAGAATTTTCGAAACTTTAATGCCAATTTTTATCACGTGAATTTATAAATAAATGTATGCAGTAAGTCAATTATTAATTATTACTATTATTACAATAATTTATTTCGATAATCCGAGTATGTTATTATATAATATTAACTTAATTTTACTTCTAACTTTACAATTTTTTCCCCCCAATTTCTATGCTTTATTTAAGGAGTAATAATTTAATAATATTGGATCAATAATAATGTTAAATAATTTAAATATTGAATTACAAATATAAATTGTAAAAATAAACTTATAAAAATATATATATAAAATAAAATATAAGAAATCCTTTTTAATTTTTTTCTTTTTTATTTATTTTTTATAATTAATTTTTTTAATATTAAATATTTTAAAGTGAATATTATATATTGATTACATTTTATATTGATTAAAAAAATAAGATAAAATTTTTTGTTTTATATAAACTTTTATTTATCTTTAAAATAATAAAAAAAATATTGATATATTAAAAAAGAAATTTAAATTTTATAAATATAATTAATTTATTATAATATTAAAATTTTTTAATTTTTTTAATATACTTTTTTTATAATCATTAAAAATTAAATCATATCAATATAAATTATTCCTTAAACTGTAAGTATAAAATTGTTTCTAAAAAACTTAAAATATTTTGATATTTAATGATTATAAAATATAAAATAAAATTTTTAGATTTATCATATTATAATATATCTAATGATAGTATTTTTAAACTTTTAAAATTCATAATTATCAATATATATTAATTTTTCAATTTTTTAATTTTTAAAAATAATTCATTATTTAATAATTACAAAAATATAAAAAAAAATAAAAAAATACTCTTTGCTGATCTTCTTGTCAAAATATCAATAATAATAAGAAGATAAAGTAAATATAAAAAAACTTGAACTTTATAAATAAAACTATTCTAAATAACTTAAAAAATAATAAAGAAGCTAGTACTTTATCCTCTAATAATAATAGAAAAAACAAAGATAATAAAAATACTACTAAAATTACAAAAAAACAAAAAGTCAAAACTTTAAAACCCAAAATTACTTCAACAAGTACAGAAGTTCTAACTACTACTTAACTAATACCAACTTTTACACAAATTGCCTCTGTTATTTTTACATTAAATTTTGTTATAGAAGATTCAAAAGTATATAAAATGAAAATAAATACAATAAAGAAAATCCTCTTTCTATATTACAAGACTTTAGCACAAATGATTCTATTTATGCAAAAAATATTACAAATGTTATCAAATTATTTTCATCTATTTTTACTATTGATAAAAAAAAGAATAAACAACTTTTTGAGCTAATCAAATAGAAATAATATAAATAAACCTGACCAATCATGTAGTTTTAATGTAAAAAACTTCTTTTAATATAATTACCTTTTTAATATATTTTTTTACATTTAATAATACTACAAATATTATAGGAAAATCTATAGTTAATAAATATAATTTTATCAATAGATTATTTGTTAACTTTTTAGGCTATTAGGACACTTTATACAACTTTAAATTAAGAAAGTTCTTTGTTTATTTTCAATTCATTAATCAACTTACATATATTGTAATAAAAAGTTCAGGAGATGTAACATAACCCTGTATTTGTAGTTGCTGATACATTTGCTAAGAAATAAAGAATAAATACAAAAAAAAAAGATACTGTCAACCCTCTCTAAATGCACCCTCTTGGGACAATAGTGAAAAATTTAAAAAATGTGCATTTAAAGAGGGTGTGCATTTAAAGAGAAAATTTCTATATGATTTTTATATGCTTAGGACTGAACGAGAACGTGCATTTAGAGAGAAAATATATAGTATGTATTTAGAGAGGGTGCATTTAGAGAGGGTTGACTATATATTAGAGTCTAAGAGAGACCGTTCAGGTTATACAAAATTTTGATATTATCACATACAATTGACCAATGAAATCATAAATGTTCGATATTATCACATATTAGTCCGGGCAATCAAATTGAGTTTACACAAATTTCTAAATTTAGAAATGGTAATTCTGGTTACTTTGTACTTAATTCCTAGCCAGAATTAATCAAATATTAGCTCAAAATATTAATTAATAATTAGTATGATTAGCTCAAAATATTGTGATTAGCTCGAAATATTGATTGATTCAAAGTAACATATTATAAATTTACAATTTTATAAAAAAAAATTTTTTTATTTATTGCAACCAATTTTTGTATACATAAAATAAAAATTTATAGCTTTAAAAATAATGTTTTCATACGTTCTAATAAATTCTCTGTTACTATCATATTATGTATTACCTGTTCTGTATTACTCAAATCATCTTCATTCGTATCCTCAATATTCTTATTGATAGATTCATTTTCAACTCTTTCTTCCTTCGTTAAACTTGTTATCAATGCATCAACATTCTTCTTAACTTCATTCTGTAAATAATTTAAATATATTAAACACTTGTATTAGCATCTTTGCAAGTAATAGCTGCAATAACTATACTCACACGCTAGAATACTACCATTAATAGAATCATCAGTACAATCACAATAAATAAAATCGCATAAGATGACAATGTTAGATTTTTAGAAGTCACAAAGCCTTGCAGAAGATATCGATCTATTATTTCATAACCTAAAAAAAGAAGTTTATACGTGTTAAACTATCAGATAAGGATTTAAGGACTAAAGAATACTGATTTTGAGTTGGATATATCTTTGCGAATGACTCTAAAATCTATATGGCACATTTTTAAAAAAGCATGCGTAACTGCTTTGGTATATACAGATATTTTACAGAATATACGAAATGTTGTTGAAAGGAATTATCATGTCGTTGTTGAAAAATAAAATGAGCCTCCTTTCACAATTGTTGAGCTGTAAAGAATTTAGCTGTACATCTCTGAATAACGCTGTGAGCTATTTCAATAGGATAATCATTTAAAGCCCAGTCTTCATCTAATAAAAAACATCTGAGAAGAACATTAAAGAGGCACATTTGTAATTCCTTCGATCAAACTGAAGAAAAAGGTCACTTCAACAATATACACAGGCTTCTTCGTAAGCTGACCAATTATCACCACGATGATGTATCATATAAATGTCAAGAACTAAGGGAATTAAATTACTAAAAAGATCTGTTAGATACAAAAATTCAATATCTTTGCATAAACAGCCAAATTTTAAATAAACAGTATCGATTACATCAAGCCACGTCATGCGTATAATATATAAAATTAAGTTAATTCTCTATGGTCGTAGCTTTTTACCAAAATCCTTATGCACACCAAATATACCTTTGTAAATATCATTGAACAAGTTAGAGTTTTTTAAAAAAACAAGCTCACGAGCATTCAAAGATACATGAAAAGGGCTCATCATAGGTAAAAATAACATGATAAATTAAGAAATATTTTTATTATTAGTGAGAAGCTATTACATAAGAGCTTTGCAAATGAATAACTGACTAGGCCAGTCTGCAACAATGAGAATCACATAGTTAGAGAGATACACCTGCATTAGCTCTTGTTCATATATGATCCAGAGTACGCTCATGTAATCCTCTATCCCTTTCAAATCCCTTTTAACAAAATTAAGAAGAATGGAATTCTGTATATGCCGATTATCTTTTTTCTCCATTATTCTATCATTATAGCT